ACACACACCTCTCCCTCTCTCTCTCTCAAATAAATAAAAAATAAATAAATAAATAAATAAATAAAAAATAAAAGACTTAGGCTTTTGAAAATCATATGCAGGAAGCCAGAGGCTTCTTTTACTTTCCAATTATTTGTAAATAATTGAATTGAGAACATAAGAAAAGGATGGAATACTAGTAAGGCTTAAAAATGGAATTAACATTTTGAAGAGTTTTTCATCACAGATTTTTAAGAAGGAGAAAGATCTGATTATGCTTTGGGTATTATTTTCCTCTCCTACTCAAACATTTTTGACATTAAGTACAGACTTGTAAAAGTCCAAACCCTTCAAGTAAATAATGAAATTAGAACCACAGGTAGATAGTGGTTTTCCTTGGGTGGCAGGAATTACAAATGATGCTTATTTGTTCTTTGTATTTCCCAGTATTTTGTACACGGTCTGTATTATACTGAAGATATAATTTAAAAAAAAAAAAAACTCAACAACTATTTAAGTGAAATGAAAGAAATAAGTTACTTTGATACATTTAAGTGGAAGAATTTTATTTATATGAATTTTTCTAGCTGAATTTACAGTATAAGATTTCAAACAATGATTTCCATAGAAGAAAAGCCATCATTACAATTGTGTTTTTTAAAACACAATTGGATTTTGGAAGGGTTTCTTTCTGGCTACATTTTAGTATATGACAATAGCAAAGCAATTTTATAATATTGTATTGCTTTTTAGTAAGAGTAAAAACTGCTAGTAATGCTCTAATCAGATATTTACTATGATGTTGGAGTTGATTCAACAACTTGGCAAGTTGCAAAACATGAAAATACAAGATAAAAACACATGCCAATGGTTCTGACTAAAAACATACGTTGCCGAAACAATACAGATCCTTCCCCTGTACCTATATCTTTTTGGCTATCACAGATGGAACTCTCAGTAGGCCGAGACTGTGTGGAAGGAAGCAAATGACTTGTTTGTTTTTCAGCTCTGGTAAGCATAGTTTAAGTAGGTAGAGTCCAGAAGATGTAAATCCCTACTGGATGCAATAATGTAACAATCCATGAGTCTCAAGTAGCTTTGCCCAAGTGTTGACTTATTTGATAATGCCTTAAAAATTACATTTTTCATTACTGGCAATGGGATTAGGTGGGTTTTATCTTACAAGAAGACACACACAGACAGGTACAGTAGATACTGATGTGGTGATGAAATTTTGTCAAAATGTAATTTCCTGCTAGCAAATCTTGTGACAGGTGCATCATATTTCTGGGTTCAGGAGTTATTCCCCAAAGATATAACTAGAAGAGAATGAATTGTGGCACATCACCACTTGATATTTGCACAGTGTCTTCTTTTAAGGAGATATTTTGCTTTTTTAGCTTCTTTATTTGTGTTACAAATGAGCTTCTGTATTTGTGAATCGCTATAGCAATATTTGGTCCCTGTGGTTGGTGTCTATCAGTTGAAGTGGTATATATAAAATGTGTTGAATGCATATATGTTTGTATCATCTTTTTTGGGGGTATATTATGCTGTTTGTTATTGCATTTGTACTTGTCACTTATAGATATTTATTGGATTGAATAATTGCAGGAAGCTAGTGTTTTCCTTAAACATATTTCTAAATGACAGAAGTATGCGTATACAGACATTAGCTTTTGTTCAAATGCATTGCTTTATTCAAGCTCAGCCTGTCTAGATTGCAAGCATGTGGAGGCAGGATATGGGGAGATGAACTTAATTCCCATAAAACATATTTTGGGCTCTGTTTAGAAAGTCATTAGATTTCCTTTCCAACTACTTCATCAGAGTAACTGTCACGAACAACTATGTTTTTGGAACTTCAGTTTCGGAACTCTTTTGCATTAGATAATACCTCACTGGGAACCATTACCCTGCTTAATCAGCTCCTTTATTCACCATATTTGGCTCTCAAAGCTTTTAGGCTGTCTGCAAAGATCAAATATGCTCTCCAAGGGCTCAGGCTGGCTCCTATAGAGACCATTCAAAAGAATATGCCCAAGGCAGTTACAAAGAAGGAGTGGGAACTTGAGAAGGCATTCCGAAAATGCTGCAGACAATGGCTGCAGGATTGGAATGAGCGGGCAGTCCTAAGGTGGCTGCTACAAGAATGGATTTCACTGGGGTGTCTGTTCAAACCCGTGTCATTATGCTGTAGCTGTACTTGATGTATGGACACACACATGCAGACGGGAAATTCATATGTTTCCCTTTAAATTGTTTCAGGCCTGCGTTCCCACTTCTCCTGTGAGCATTGCCTCATACTTCACCTCTTTCTTTCTCTTGTTTATATGTTCCTAAGTCTCTGAAAAACCAGTAAGTAGCATTTGTGTCTGAGACAAATGTTGACTACCATTTATGATAAAGGGCTTTTAAGAGTGGTAGGCTAAGAGTTTAGGTGGAAGGTATATGATGAGATTGAGAAGTCCTTTGATTTTGTGTTCTTTGAACATAGTCTAGAGAACACTGGTGGATTCCTAGTAGCCAAGAGCAGTAGATTTCAGCCTCCAGAGAGGCCAGATTTTCTTCACTCTTCGAAGGGCCCCCAATCTCTGCCCCGAGCGTCCATGCAGGTTGGCACATGTACTGATAAAATTGGGTACAGTTTGTTCTCGTCCTGAGCTGTTCATGCAGCCTTCTGGATGAGATTCAGATAGAAAATGAAAAACATACTGTGTGCCTTTTGCTTTCCCTCCATTTTACATCTGGAACTTTCTTTGTTTGTGAAAGCCCTTTAGTATGGCACAGCCTTTTTGCCTAGCTTTAGCCCCAGAGCTATCACATTGTGCACAAGTCATGTGTCGATCTTCTGGTAGAAACCTTCCCCCTACTAGTTTGGGAAAAACTGGGAAGAAAAGGAGGAGAGCCCTGGAACTCCTTGAATGGGGAGTTACCCAGGAAGGATGGGCTTTCACTCCTAGAGACTTCAGGAAGGAAATCTGTTTCTCTGGCAATTAAAGGGATCAGCCTGGAATGCTGTGTGTGTGTGTGTGTGTGTGTGTGTGTGTGTGTATGTGTGTGTATGTGTGTGTGTGTGTGGTCGCTCTCTTTTGCAGTACAAGGAACCAAACCCAGAGCCTTCCCACTGAGTTATATCCCCAACCCTTTTTAATTTTCTTTATTCTGAGACAAAGTCTCACTAAGCTGCCCAGGCTGAGCCTGAAATTTGTGATCTTAACTGCCTCAGCCCCCAGAGCGATGGGATTATAGGCATGCACTACTCTACCTGGCTTGTTTGTTGATTTTTGCACTGGGAGCTCTATGCCAAGATTTTATTAGTAAGTAAAATAATAGTCTGTTTACCTGCCCTTTAGAGGCATAGTTAATATTTTAAAAGAAACAGAAACCTCCTCATAAAACTAGTCTTCATTTGGTAAACTTCCACTCATCAGAAAGCCATTACAATACGTAAATCATGAATGCTGGTGGATCAAACCCAGACTTGCCTCATTGAAAAGGAGGAGAGAGAAAAAAAGTTACGTTGGTCAACACTTACAGTTGTATTAGAAGCTGCTGCTGTCCTTGTAGCTGACATGGACCTTGATCATATCTCAGAGCAAGTCCTTGTTGTCCCTATAATTAGATAAAGACCTTTTGGCTCATCTATCAAGACTCTTCCCCATCAACCCAACCTTGATCTGTGGACTTAACTTCTTTTGCCCTGCTTTAACTACCTTGCTATCCTGGGAAGCGGCATCTTTTGACTGGTCAATGGCTTACATTATCTCCCTCTGCCTAGTATCTACAGAGACAAGGGTGCTGCATCCCTTTCATTTGTTCCTCTCACATTTATTGCAATGTGGCAGGCCTTGCACTAAAATCTGGAGATACAAAGCAACAACACCACAACTCCGGTTTCCCTGTCCCCATGTTACTCTTTTTCTTGTAATCCAAGCCCAGTGCATCAGTAAGGTACTTGTTTTATATTCTTAGCTGGAAGTATTCTTCCCATCCTGCATGCATCTAAAGTTTTATCCCCTAGTGCATGTATGGAAATTCCCTTGTCTAGTTTGCATTCTGTCTATGTACGCAGTGAGCTTCCCTGCCTTTGTAGAATTGCTAGAAGGAAAGCCCTATAGAAGAATTTAACTGTGAATCCTCCATTGTACTTAATACAACCATATCTTCACTCTACAAGTATTTATGATTACTTAGTTTGTGTGGTGTGCTGTTCAAAGCACTCCATAAGTATCGATATGTAATAGATAACTCTTGAATGCATGAAAATATGAACTTTTGAAGGAACATTTCATGTAATGCTTGAAGGCAGGCGATACTTTATGAGGTTGAAAAGAGGCTTCACCCTGAGGGAGAATTATGGTTAATACTCTTTGAGGGCTGTCTTGGATTGTAGCGAGGGACTCCTGTGCCTGTGCCTGAATTAGTTGTTTCTGTTAGACCTAAATCCGAATCCTTTTCTTTTCTTATTTAATGATTAATGAAGTCTGCTTTGCTTGCATCTCTTTTTGCATCTGAAATTTTCATGTCACGCAATGTCACATTAAAAATTGATTTCAGATTTTGTAATGTTAAGCTCTACAGCCTCAAATGCTAACATTTGCCGTTGGCTTTCAGCTCAAAAGAGACCGAGCACAGCCTATCTGGGGTAACCTGCTCACCACATTTTGCGGCAGGTTTACACAATTACTGTAACAGATCTCTTTTGCTTCAGTTGTCACACCAAATAATTGGATATTTCTGTTTGGTTTCTAAACCTCTAAAATGTCCAGATCACATCAATTTGTTTCTTGATTTCATATTGGCTACTTTTAGTGTGTAATTGCTTCAGATGCTTGCATTTTGAAAGAAAAAATGTTAAATAGAGGTTGCTGATTTTATTTAGGTACATAGCACTGTTTGTGCCTGTAATTTCAATTTATCTGGTAGTGCTCCGCCTCCTTTCCAAGGAGAACTTCCCAACTTGTGCCTGGCCATGCACGTTGAGATGGTGATGGTTTCTCTTTCCTTCTCCTTTTCAGAATGAAGACCTAAATGACCTCAGCAGATCCTCCTTTCACTCGTGGGTACCCAGACTATTTCATGCTTCACACCCAGGACCTCAGATCTTCCTCCTCAGTAGATGGTACGATGCGTCCATTTCAGTTTGTTTACTTTATATAATCCTCAGGAGTTCGTTGACTGAACTGCACATTCTACAGTGTGCCAAGCAAAAAAAAAAAAAAAAAAAAAAGCACTGTGACACCAAAAGAATGCATCGGCTTGAACTTCAGCGTGACCCTTATGGACATGGCCGGCCACAGCGAGCTGATGTGCCCACCATCATGCCGTGAGAGAATGGGCTTCCTCCTCGCACTGCATTCACAAGATGCGTTTCATCTGCTGCTGAAACTGTGTTTGACAAAGCATCGTTGTAAATTATTTCATACAATACTGTTCACATTGGGTGGAGAGAGTATTAAATATTTAACATAGGTTTTGATTTATCTGTGTAATTTTTTAAATGGAAAAGTAACATTTCTTAAAGCACATCTTTTTTTTGGATGTGGAACTGAGGTATACAATGTTCTGTTGTAAAGGGTGGAGCAGATGCTTAGAACAAGGCCGCAAAGAGTAGAATAGGGTATAATCCTCATTTTAAGATTGTAATTCAGAAAAATAATATAATAAGAATCATAGTGCCATAGATGATTCTCAATTGTACAGTTACATTTGCTGGTACTATCTGTTGTAATATAAACTTGATGTTGAGCTGAGTTCCTTACAAGAATTAATCTTAATTTTGTATTTTTTTTTCCTGTAAGCCAATAGGCCACGTTAATTAAATTGAAGAAGGATATATTCTACTGGGGTATTTTCAAGTGTCAGCTGAAAATTAGCTATTGAATGGAAGAAAAGGAAATCGAAGTCTTCCATTGTATATGTTGTAAAGAGAAGGCGACCTGGGTGATCCCGTCAAATCAAAAGCTCTCTTTGGAATGAACAATGTGGGTGTTTGTAAATTCTGGAAATGTCTTTCTATTCATAATAAACTAGATATGTTGAGCTTTTCTTCTCTCCCCTCCCCTCCCCAACTTCTATAAACTCCCTGCTCCATTCCCACCATTTATTTTCTGTGCACACGTTATGATATTTCATTTCCTGCATTATTGAGAGAAGGAGTTTAAGACAAGTGAATACTTGCTAAACAGATATTAAATTTCCAGAAAAAAAACTTTTTTTTTTCAAAAAAGTAATGACAACCAAGGCTATATGTTAGTGTCTTTAAGACCCTTATCTCATGTATTCCGAGAATTTCCAGTGTTAGATTATGTAACTGAATGTAACTGGCCCATTTCCCCTGGTGGGTACTGGCCTATTAGTGATTAGTTAATAAGACACTGTACAGAGAGCACATAAAATCATAATGACCTGCTATTGAAACATCGAACTAGCAGTGCAACTGTTAACTCTTGTTTAGAAAGTATACGGATCGTGGAATTTTTCCTTGTAAAACAGAAATGGCAGTGACCACACTGAAAGACATTGCCTGCAAAATTTTAAAGCCTTTTGCTGGGAAGCCTCTTAGAGGTTCATGAATCAATGTAGATATCAGACTCCCTTGGAGTCAGTGAACTCTCTGTCAGGCATTGCGAGCCCTGCTGTTGAGAGGAGCAGTATTTTGCTATCTGGAAGTGGTTGAGCTCCAAGTGGGGCTACAAGAAAGGGGCTGGGATTGGAGCGCACTACAGTGGCTGCAGTCCTGACTTGCTAGCTGGGGAGCCCCACTCTGCTCCAAAGGGAGTGGAGATAAGCGGAACCTCCATGCCACTAAGACCCGTGTTACTGCTTATTTAATCAGATGGCATGTACCTCACGGACTGTTGTACAATGTTCATTGTTGCGGATTTTAATCATTTGCATGCTCATCAGCTTCCAAAATAGGTCTGTAGCCCTACAAATCCATTGTTTTCTAGGAACTGGCTGAATTACATCATTTCCTATTAGTACAGAACACCGTCAGTTTTGACCATCTGATATGAATGTTATTTTTTTTTCAAATTTTTCTCCTTTGTAAAAAAGTCTTTCTTAGCCAAACTAATTTTTAAGTTTTGAAGTATTCTGATTCACACTCTTGCTAGCGTAAGAATGCAAGCTGTCCTGCTCTTTTCTTTTGGGGACTGAAGTAAAGAGGGAAAGCGCCATTCATTTCCCTATAAAGCAGGTTATCATTTCTCAAGGAACCCAGACTTTGAATATGTATTGCCAACACACCTCTGCATGCAGAATTATCAACACCCTTTGGGTGAAAACAAAAATGAACAGACTGGAAAATCCGTCTCTTCATTATTCTCTGCTTAACATTTTGTTGAGTAAAATAATCATAAAGGTAGATCTTATTTAAGCTGCTTCTAGAGGTACTCTAGCTGGGTTAGTTGGCAGTAGCAAACTTTACTGATTTAAAACTGGAAGTTGCTGATACTCCAGCCCCAAACACATGCTCTGGCTACTTGAACCATTTACTTGGAACACATCAGCTGCTAACTCAGTGTGTTTGGTTCCTATTGCAGAGAGAGTTGGCTTTTATCTATTTCAAAGTATTTGTAGACCCTCCAACAGCATACATTAGTGGGGCTTTTAGTGACCTCTGGTCAACCTAGAAGTTAGTGGCTTTTTCTTTATGAGACCCACCTTTTACAGAATTCTTTCTTAGAGACTTAGGCAGCGTTTAAAAAATTCTCCTTTGTGAAAAGAACAAATGCTTCATGGCTTTGATGATATCTTCATTCTGGGCAAAATCATGGCCTGAGGACCAGCTGGGAGTAAGGAGAATCCATTAATGATCAACCACCTGGGTCAATAAGGACAAATCAGTACCGATGTTGTGTTTCTGGCTATTTCTTGCTAACTTTCAAAGGTCAGGGACTTTCCTGACTAATCTAATGGATAGCAAATAAAATAAAATCTACTCAGAATCATCTAGCCAGAAGCACAGTTTTTTTTAAAAAACTATTTCTTTGCCTTTTCTAGCACTTCTTTCCATGTGAGACACAGTACTATAAAACAATTTTGCTATACTGTAAGAGACTGCATTTTATGGTCCCAAAGCCCTGTTTTATTCATTCTTGCATCCTGAGTGCAGTATGCCATGCAGTAGGAAACTTCCGTTTTCTTTACTACAGGTGATTGGAAGGTGGAGGAAGAGGCTTATACCCCACTGACAGTAAGAACCATGAAAAGTACTAGGGCTGTGAAGGGCTATCACACCGGGGACAGTGAGCATATATCTGGAATCACGCTGCTCTTACAGAGCTCCGTAGGTCAGTTCATCACCCAGGCAGGCTCCGAAGCCTGAGATGGAGAAGGGAAGACTTGACTGAAACAGTGCAAAGGACCCCTTGGAAGGCACACAAAGGAGAGTGGGTAAAAGCCAGGTGCACAGTGATGTCTTTGCAGCGACTGATGGGGATTGGTGTTCCCAGGACAGGGTGAATGTTGGGGCTGATGCCGAATTCTGTATGTGGGCTATGGGAATTTGAAGGGAGAGGCATGCTCTTCTAGAAGCGTGTGGCAGTCAGACCTTGCCTGTACTGAAACAAAGGCCTCCACGCAGGCTGTATGCTTGATACAGAGAGCAGTCAGCAAACCATTCAGGGTTTCATGCTGGTGCCTTTAGCCATTTCTAAAGCCAAGCTGAGATTTTCAAGGTCCTTTCATACATAGCTCTATAAATCTGTCTCCTGAGTGTCGCTGCAGGATGCATGGGTCAGGGAGTATGTCCGGTATGCTTGGAATCAGAGCATCAGATGAGATACTGGGCGGGGGGGGGAGGCTTGAGTGCAGTTGAAGGTCCTTGGCCCTACTCTTAAAAGATTTGTTATTCATAAGCAGCATATAATTAGCTAATATGATTAGAAAATGTATGACTTAGATGGAGCATTGTCTTCCTTTCTTAGCTTGTCGTTGGCATTTGTGGTGTATACACCGAGAGACCTGGTGTCTTATCTTAGCCTTGTACCATTCACCTGGCATTTAAATCCCTCATTGCTTACGCTTTTCTTTTCCCCAGTGTTAATTCCAATGCCATATAGTAGGATGAATTTACTACACAGGAAAACATGTCCGTATCTGTGCGGACACCATTAGTGCATTTCTCTTTTCATTGTAGAACGTCGCCATTGGCCTGAGAGTGTAGTTCCCAGAACAATGTTTTTTTTTTCTTGCAAACTACTTTCCTTATACATCTTGGCTACAGGGTAGGCCAAATGAATTACGTGTTTATTTTCAGTTACTGTGTGTGCAGTTTGGTTTATCATCTGAAGATGGTGGAGCTGCTCATGGTGCTACTTCATCTGTGTACAAGAGACCAACGCATGGTCTGTATTGCTACCAAAACATTTACTGTATATATGTGTATAACATACGTACTATGTATATATGTAATGGGTACCAGGCCAGGTTTATAGTTTTCATTTAGAAGTGTTTCACTTTTCCAAGTTTTCTTTATAGTGTTGTGCTTATTTTCATTTTTGCCCCCTGGTTCTGTCTGGTACTTAGAACTGTAGTGTCTTCATTGTTAATTAAAGAAAACTGTCTGAATGAATTCACAGATGTGACTGCTAGTGATCCTTACTGTCTTTGATGATGGGATGGGAAATAGAAGCTGGGTATTTAGTTGGGTATGAGAAGTATGTATTATTTAACATACTTTCCTAACTGATTTTTGGGTCAGATTTGCCTCACCCTATCCCTTTTCAGTTGTCCTCAATGGCCAAGTATGTAGAGAAAAAGGCATCTGAGAAGATTTTAAGCTGCTTTTGCAGGTTGTGGTACCAAGGGAGAAAGGAGGGGTGGTGGGTGGGGATCTGTCCTCTCCATTGCAGGACGGATGTTCTGTTCACATGCCTCAGAACAACCTGTGGATCTTGAATGTGCACATAGTTTCCCTGTTGAAATGCAGATTGCAGTTCTGCGGTTGGGGGCCAGGACTGAGAGCCTGCATTGCTAACCAGCTCCCAGAGCCAGGGCTGCTGGTCCCTGTCTGCTAATGTCGTGGTCGCAAGGCAAAGGCATGCTCACCCCTGGCCACGTGTTGCATCATTTGGACAGTTTTTAAAAAGTGTTGATGGCCAGGCCAACCCTAGAAATGCCGGCTTAAGTGGTGTGGGGGTGGGGCTTGCCCATCAGTTGTTGATTTTCTTGTTTCCTGGGAGATTATAGCAGGGTCAGGTCAGATTATAGCTGGGTCAGATCTGAGAACCACTGCTGGGAAGTGCTGCCCAAACTTGCCTGATTATTACAGCTGCTTATTAGAAATACTAATTCCCTAGAGCAGACTAGAAATGTTTTTTTCAGCAACTTACTTGTGGGAGGCAAGTTTGGGAAATCCTGATTTTTTCCCAAATGGAGATTTTGGGTCCTTTCACCACTTGAAGAAACAGCAACACCTACAATTTTTTTAAAAAAATAATCATGTTGTCAATATAGAAAAATCTAAGACCCCCTCCCCTCCACACACATGCTTCTTTGAAATTTTTTTACTTAACCAAGTTAAAATAGAAGATGACTGATGCATTCGATGTTGTGAAGGCTAACTCAAGTTACTGGAATTTTTGAAACAGATTCAAGATTAAGTTTGTATTTTAAATGAGCAAGATGCTCCACTGAAAGCAGAAAGACTGGCTTTCCCATCCTTATTTGGTGCCCAGGCTCAAGGGATCTTCCGTCTGCCCGGCACTCTAATGATTTTTTTCATTATTTGGAAGCAGCGCACACCATGACTTAATAAATGTTTGAATTATTGCTTGACCTTTGCTTTATTCACTTTCATTCACATTAAAAAAAAAAACAAAAACAAAAAACAAAAAGCCACTGGTCTCTTCCTTCTACTAGTATTGCAAAGCCAGCATTACTTTATCCCTTTTGAAATTGCGTGTGGGGTTCCTTTCTCTGAAGGGCCCACATTATTTCTTTGAGCGTGTGCTTTTACAGTTCTGCCTGATAAATCCCTTTATGCCTCGTGTGCCCTGAAAATTCCTTTTCTGTGACGGAAGTCAGTACTCCTGTCACCTGTCCCATGGGTGGGGTGAGCCAAGGTTCTTTACCTCCACCCTGAGGGCCTTTTGGACCTGTCTGGTCATACTTCTTGGCTGGTGCAGGGGCACATCAGCAAGCCCAGCAGAAAGCTCTCCGTGCTTCCTGAACCACTTGCCCCTGTGCCTAGCTTCCCTGTTTCCTTTTCTCACTCTATTCTCTCTCTCCTACTCTCTCACTCTCTCTACCTTCTTCCTTTCTCTTTCTTCTCTTGTTCCTTTGTTCTCTCCATATTTTTTCCTGTCGCTTTTCTCTCTCTTCCTGTCTCTGCTTCTCTGTGTCTCTCCATCTCTGTCTTTCCAGCAGTTTTGGGCTTTTTGTCAGCAGTCAGAGGCTCCCAAGTCCCTAGAAAATGGGTACATATAAGTGCACCACAAATAGGAAATGCTTGTTCTCTCATCAGAAATGGGAAGAGGTGTCTGGGACTGCTCTCTAGGATGTCTCCCCGAAGGTTAGCACACCCCATTCCTGAGTCAGATGGAAGTAAACTGGTTCACCAGCGAGACACGAGTAAGGACAAACTGATCAGGTGTCTCCGGCAAAAGTTTTCTCACACTGCTAGAATGGAAGAACTAGCCCGGAGACAGTGGAGGCACTTGGTTGGCCTCAGGATGACGCCTGAAGGCGGTCTCTAAAAATTACATCCTTGGGTACAACCTAGATAAAAGGAGATCGTCTGCTCTTTTAATTGTCTTTCTCTCTCCTTTCCTCACCTCTCTCACTCTCAGAAACTAAGGGGCCCAAGTTGGGCTCACCGAATGCCATGGTTCTCCTCTTTGGGTGGCAGGGTGCACATCTTAAGCCACACAAGTTCAAGTGGCCATCTAGGGGACAGCTTTTCAATGATGCTACCCTCAGAGCCTCGCAGTCTCTACTCAAATCAGGAAGAAAGCCACTGGTTTCCCTTTTTCCTGCCCTCTCTCCCCTCTCTGAAGACTCATTCTCCTTCTCATCTTTGTTCATCTTTCCCGCAGAGGCGTTCATCTGCTGGCGACTCCAGATCCTTTGAGTTCAGCCTTCAGCCTTCTGTGGCATCTCCCATGGCCTTCCCCAGTCCTCAGGTCATCTGCTACAGCTTCTCCTGGGAGTCTTCTGGGGTCTCCTGGGGCACTACTCTCTGGCCAGCTTGCTTTCTCCCTCCACACTGTTTTTTTAGTCTCACATTTGTCTCTGTGTCTAACACCGTGTGTGCTCTGTAGTTGCTGAATGATATCTCCAGGTTTTCTTCTTTTTGCAACTTCCTAAGCTCTTTATATATGTTACAGGTCCCTGGATATAAAGGCAAGAAAGGAGACAAGGAAAAAAATTAATTTAAATGTTTTACTTTCAAGAAGACAGCAACTTCAGAGCACGAAGTTACCTAAGCTTATCCAGATCTGTACTTTCTAGGCATATTTATGCTTCTTTCCTTCTAGCCCAGCATATTCCAAGTCGCTTAAAGCTACAAGTCCATAAACTAACTTAGTTGATAAGGGAAAGGACAAAAGCCTGATCTGAAGAGAAAGAAACAGATGGAGAGAGTTCAAGAATGTTTCTAGACAAATCATAGATTCACCTATTTTTGTTTTGTTTTGCTTTGTTTTTGGTGGAACCGGGGGTTGAACTCAGGTCCTTGTGCTTGCCAGACAAGCACTTATTCTACTGAGCTATCTCCCCGGCCCCGATTCACCTATTTTTAAAACAAAATAACAAGAAACTAGTCTAGGCCCAGCCTTTCACCTGTACTAGTCTAGGCCCAGCCTTTCACCTGTACATTATTTTTTCCTGTAGGGTGGGTTAAGTGCGAAAGCCACATGAAATCCCACCAAATGTGTTTGAGAGCTTTGGGTTTTGCATATTACCTGCAGCAAGCACTTCTATATGCCAGAACTTCTGGTATTCTTGCTCAGGGATACCGGTGACTAGAAATATCATCAAGATGGGCAAAAAGGAAAACAGGAAGGCAGATGCCTGAGCATATTCTGAATTAGAGGCCTGGCCTCTCTTCACGTGAGAGAACTGCTGAGGCTTCACCATGGTACGGGGTCCCCCTTCTGATGCATGCTCATTACAAGAGCATGTCTAATAGATTTAGTTAGCATCCCATGATGATGCCCACATGAAACTATATTAGCCACGTATTTGTTCCCAGAACACACACATTCAGGGTGTCCTACATCCAACTTTGGGGGAGTATATTATTGGAGTTTCTTAGGCAATATCTTATCAGCTCCCCCTCCTTTGGTCTCAATGCCAAGGACCAAATTTTCCTCATAACAATATAAAAGAAGAAATAAGATAGTTGGCATTCCTCACTATTCTAAACTCAGTCTATAAATCTAAGCCCAGTAAAATTAGTCTAAACTTATGAAGAATGGCATGGAAATTAAGGCATCGGGTACATTTGCATCATGCACATCTTATAGCATTATCATGATTCTATAAAATATTCAAAATTACAAAAAAGGTTATGTGAGAATTTCAGTGAATTCTTACATTAATCTTACACTCCACAATCTAAAAACCATGGGCTGGCCACCTACAGCCTACAGGCCAAATCCAGTCTGCTGCTTGTTTTTATAAAGTGTTATTTGAACATGACTGAGTTCATTAATTTGCATATTGCCTATGGTATTCAATAACAAAGTTGAGTAACTACAAGAAAGACCCAATGGCCTGAAAAGTAAAACATTTGCTATCTGGTTCTTTGTAGAAAATATTTGTTGGCCATTAGTATAAATATTTTTTCAAGACAGAGAATTGGGGTCAAGACAAGATCTCTTGCCTTGGGCTTCTCAATTTTTTTTTTTAATTTTATTTATTTATTTATGCGTGTGTGTGTGTGTGTGTGTGTGTGTGGCCAGCTCAGTCCACCTGGGGGCGGGGCTGGCTGGCATGTGGTGCTGGGGGATTGAACCGCGGTCCCTGTGCTTTGCTAAGCTTGTTCTAAGTAGGTGCTTTAGACCACTGAGCCATCTCTCCAGCCCCATGCTTCTCAAATTCTCCTAAATCTAAAAAAGTTGTCTTGGCATATGTTGGAACTCTGCTGCCATGGTTAAAGCACTGTTGGATAGGGTTCATGGTCATGTACTAATCTTTATGCAGTTGATCCCTGAAGTGTCAGGATGACTTCTTTAAAGCGGTTTAATGAGGAAAGAGGACTGCAAGTTTGAGCCCAGCCCTGGAAACTTAAGGATCTAGCGAGGCCTGTCTTAACATTTAAAAATAAAAAGGGTTGGGGACAGGGCTCAGTGAGAAAGTACCAGGTTCAACCCCCCAGCACTGCAAAAACTAGTTAATTAATTAATTTAAAATTGTTTAATCTATAAACACTAACGTAACTGTAACTATTTTATAATTAGTCAAATAGAGATGGGTTGAATGGGGCTCGGACGATACATTTTTGTTAATGGCTCAATTTCTCTGGATTTAAAACAAAACAAACAAAATCTAGAATTAAGTTCAAGGTATCTTTTCCAGATAGAGGTTGAGCTTTCTTGCACCTCCAAACAAAGTGTAATGTGGATTTTGAGATCCAGAAGGA